AAGATCCTATTGATACAAAGCTACATTTCAGGACATAAGAATTCATATCTGGTATACAAAATGTATTCATATTGTTTGACCATGCAGGTTTTCCAGCATATTGTTTATGAGAATAACCTTTTGGTCCAGGTATTCTCCCTTCTCTGCTGCTCCACCTACTTATGGTTACAGGCACACTTATAGATCCACCACTATCCCTGAACAGCTTGAAGCTGGGTTTCCAATCTGGAGACCGAATTGGGACCCCAACACTAGAGCAGCAGAGAAAACTCCAGGATGTGTCTTGGTGCACAAGTGGAGACTTTATTGTCCAGAACAAGGATTCATTGGAACTGGTGTTGCGAGCCGCGACGTCGGGGTCCTGCCAGCAGGCCCCAAACCTGAGAGGATTCACCGAGAGTAAACACACTGAGTCATGCTCAGATTCAAACAGATTTCTTCTTTATTCTTCTTTTACTTCTACTACTACTCTACTACTACTACTACTACTCTCTGCCAGATGGCTCTCACACTTATATCAGGCAATAATATGAAAGTAAAAACAGCTTCAAGGATGAAAAACAATCTCAAGGATAACTGTACAAGGCCACAATTATGGCTCCACAGAATACACATGATTTACAAGAAGCGGGTGTTTTTTCTGGAAAGCGAAACTCAGCTAAACAATGCCATAAGATGGCAGCCGATCACGGCCAATCAGAACTTACAACATAGCAACTCCTTCGCTCAGGGAACTGCAATGCAAGCAGCCAGCTGTCTTGCAGTCAGTCTCCCACAACTGGTTTGGCTATATTTCAGCAACAAATGGACTTATTAAACAAAGAAGTTGAAGGATTGTGGTTGCATACTCGATTGGACTGTGATCCCAGATTTCAACAACTCTGCCTTACTCCCTTTCCTGTCAAAAACCATTCTGAGGAAGTTAGATGACTTTCTTCATTGTTGCGAGGGTCTTGGAATCGGACATTTCTAACTGCAACTAATCAGTTGTCATTGGACATTGAGGTCTTATCTGGTGTTCATGCCCACTATATCCGGCTTGATTTAGATTTTGCTACAGAAGTTTGGAAAAATTTGAAAAAGATGTTTTCACCTTTTTGGATTGTTATATGGCTTATTGTTATTACTGTTATGATTGGTTTGTGTATTTTGGGTTACTGCTCATATCGATGCTGGAAGCGTTCCCAGTTTAAATAGGAGCATTTAGCTATGGCTGTACAGGCTTCTTTGGATGATGATACAACGTGCGTAGCCATTTACTTGGCTCAGGCTTGGCGTGCTTAGATCCCCCACCTTGGGATACTCAGTGACGGGTAAGGACGGAAGCTTCTGTCTACCAACCTAAGACAGGTCGTATTGGGACATGAGCCCTGCAACTGATGACGGGTAAGGAGATGGAAGACTTCTGCCGCCTAAGACAGAGGTCCCTTGGCTGATGCATGATGAATGGCCTATTGCTAGCATTCTTCATGCTATCAAAGAGAGATGGGGGAATTATGGCGAGCCATTATGGTGAGCCTTGACACAGGCCTAGCCATGATTGAACTTTGAGTCACCTCGCTGGCAAGGATGTGCTCTCGCCCATAGCCACGGGTGAGTTCAGGTGGTAGCAGATGTAACCCATAATGGTGGTTATTGTTTCCCTCTGGAATGTGTGGGTGGTACTCTCGCTCCCATGCAGCTGAAGAGTATAAAAGGGAGAGGCTCTGTAATAAAGCAAGCAAGCAAGGAACATGAGAAGATAAGTGCCTCCCGTCTCTCTGTCCTCATCCTTTCAGGTTTAGGACCTGCTGGCAGGATCCTGACGTCGCGGCTCGCGACAGTCTCTCACCAGGAGATATACAAAAGTATTCAATATAATTCAATGTATATTCATGGCCAAAAAAACCTTAACAAAATGGTCACTGGAGGGAATCTGCTCACCCTGATAAAACCTGTCAGTGTAGACCTAACAGCAAACTTCAGGGTTCATGGTAAAACTGTATTTACCCTCGAAATTGATTCTGTTTCGTTTTCCCCTTTTCCATTTACTGCATAGCCTCCCCTCTGAGCTCTTAAATCCATGGAAGTAAGGAATGAGGAGAACTCACCTGAGTCGTGTTCATGTTCCGTGGCCGTTGGTGCAAGGTAAAGAACTGTGAAGGCTCAGCTGGAGAGACAAAAAGAGGTCAGGGCCATGAGATCTGCCTATCTCATGCCTCCCAGATTTACTGCCCCAAATCTCACCGAATAATCTGGGAAGTCCAGCCAAAGGAAGAGAGACCTTCAGGCCTTAAAAAGGCATGAGAAGGATCGATCATGTGCAGGTGGCATCACCTGTCCCTATGCAACTCTGAAATACTCATGGGGCTGAAACCTGCAGTTTTTTAAGTAAATAAACATAAATTTCTGACTGACTTAATAATGCACAGGTCCTGCTAACAAAGATAGATTACAAAGGACTAGTTCAATTAAGCAAAGCACGAGGCACTATTCCCTCTAAAGCTGAGCAGAAAAATATTCCATGTGTCTCATTCATGTGTTTCTCTTAGTATATTGTGTACCCCCTGATACAAACATAGAAAGCCAAAGAAAAGAGATTAGAGGTTTTTATAAGTGTTTGTTTTAACCAGTTGTATTTCTCAAGAAGCCCCGTGAATGAGATGCTCTCAGTGGACTCAGCTGTGAGTGAAGTCACTTGTGCTTTCCTCCCGATGTTGTCACTACCTGTGTATCTCTCAGAAAGTCCCCAGACCTTTCCCATCCAACATTTTTCAAGTTTCCAGACTCAGAAATAGGTGACTTTGGAAAACTTCATGTGTATCATCATTCTTAGTCTGTGAAGCCAGCATAAAATCCCGTGTCCCATGTGGTGATGGAGAGCAGTGCAGCACCTCCCAGCCTGGAGAGCAGAGGGCCCGGGGCTGCCTAGCAACAGCAGAGTAACAGGTTTCCCACCCAGCCCGCTCACCCCTTGTGGGCACACCCTCCTCAGACCTCTGATGAAGTGGTATTTCCTGGGCAACCAGTCACCGGCCCTCCCTAACTCACCCTGCTATTTTCTCTACTGTCACAGCGTGTGGTGCTGCTGGAGGTGGCACTGTCACCAAATCTAACTCATCCTGGGCAGAAGCCCCAAGAGCCGCTTCCAACCATGCAAATGCAGGCTCTTGTCTCTGCTCAGGAGCACTGGAGAGAGGTGTAAGGCCAGAGCGGTGTTGTCTTCCAAGCAAAGCTCCTTGCAAGAGGACCCTGCTCCTACTTCACAAGGGCTGCTTTGTCTCCGGGAGTTGGGAACTGGACCTGAAAAACAAATTCAGTTCAGGGGCAAAAACGTGGCTTCTGGAGTTCATTATAATATCAGACCCAAGAGAGCCTGAGTCAAGGGATGCGAAGGACGCACATTGTGCCCGTGTATGTGACACGTTAAGTTCACACCCTGCATTGCTTCCCATTCTATCCAATCCCCGTGCAGCTGGGGACAGTGCTGTGAAGGACTCAACAGTGGTTTCAGACAGGTACATTATACCTGAGGCCGGAAGCATATCACAGGTGACCCCGAGCCAGAGCTCCCTCGCACTGGCTCGTGGCCTGAGCCCCCGCTGTAATCTGTAGTGCAGAGGGATGAGCCAACTTCATAGAGTGGTGCGAGGTTTGCGTAGGTCACGCAAGTGAAAGAGCAAGGTGTCCGCTAAACATACCAACAGGTGCACCTCCTCAGAGCTTGGTAACCTGCTCTTGGCTGAGGGCTCTCCAGGGGATGACATCTCCATTTCAAAACAAGCCCACGAAGCTGTCATTATTACAGACCTCAAGAGAACCCGGATTCTTACCAGGTCACCGACTTACCGCATCTGAGCTAGGACTACTCTAGGTCCAGACCTCGGATTTCCCCAGACACCCACTCACGGCTACCAGGATGGGGTCAGCGGCCTGGACCCTGGCCCGCGCCAAGCACCCGCCGAAGGGGGTTCCCGATCCGGGCCCCAGGTCCCGCCCAGGGTCCACTCCGAGGGAGGCGCG